CACCAGCAGCAGCGTCAGCGGTGCACGCACCCACACAGGGCTGCCGCTGCCGTCTGCAGCTTTGACGTTTGCTGCAGGAACAGGCGGTGCCACGTTTTTCGTTGCATCGGTGTGTGATTGAGCGTTGTGCTCGGCCTCTGATTTCAACTGCTCTTCTGAAGTCACCGTCGTGCCGGTGGCAGCAAGCGTCGACTCCGTCGTCTGAGGATCGGCGTGTGGTGCGGGGATCTCGTCAACGGCGTTCTTCGCTGCCTCCGCCTGCTTCGCTGCCTCCTCCATCAGTTTCTCCGCCTCTGCAGCCACTCTCACTGCGCCATTCAAGTAACCCAACGCCCTCCCCCCGTACGCTACCACCGGAGACAAAGCATTTGACACGTTTAAAACACCGAACATCGCTTTTTTCAGTTTCTTCTTTTGCGTCTCATCCATTGAAGAGGTTACTTCATCGACTTCTTCAAGCGTCACTTTTTCGGCCTCTTCAACCGCCTTCTTTGCGTGCTCAAGTGCAGTAGCGGTGCTGTTCTTAGCACTTTGACATATCACCTGTATCCGCTTGCTGACCTCCAATGAAGCCTGAGCTGCTGTTGCGGCCTCCGCCATTAGTGCCTTCGCCGCGTCGCTCGCTGTGGCGTTCTTCTGCACGGCGTCGCTCTCCTCCTTATACCTCTGCACCACCTTTTTCAGGCTCTCGACGACAGCAGCAGCAGCAGCACTAACAACGGGTGCATTCGCCGTATTTAGTGCTGCCTCGGCCGCTGTCTTCGCCGCTTTGGCCGTTTTCTTCGCTTCTTCGATCGCCGTCTTCAATTCCTCAATCGTCGGCAGCGGTAGCGNCCTCGGCCGCTGTCTTCGCCGCTTTGGCCGTTTTCTTCGCTTCTTCGATCGCCGTCTTCAATTCCTCAATCGTCGGCAGCGGTAGCGTTGGCAGTGGCGGTTGCTGTGGCTTCGCTTCCTTCTCATACTCCGTCAAGGCGTCTTGCAGTTTTTGCGAGGCATAGGTTTGTGCGTGGAAAGCTTTTGTCGCCGAACGCA